GGACTGGGTGATCCCTGTGGGTCCTTTGAGCTCAGGCTATTCCATGAATCCATGATGAACAAAGAAGTGTTCAACTGAACTTTTCATCTTTGGAATCGAGACAACACTGAGCTTTCACAGAATCAGCTGGGTTGGAAGGGACCTCTGAGATCATCAAGTTCATTTCCGACAACTCCGGTACCACAATATAAAAAAAAAAATAAATTAGAAAACCTAATTTAGGAAATCCCATCGAACAGTCTCTTGAATTCAGGCCGTTGCAGTGCCAGGTGTGTTTTTACCACTGCCATTATTTTGTGTTTCTCTCCTTGCAGGTATTTTTTGGTAGACTTGGAGGCCCCCCCTTCGATTGTCTCGGCCATGACGGAGCACCTGGGACGGGACATCGATGTCATCAGGCAGGGCTTTGTCAAGCACCCCCTGGCAAAGCCAGAGGAGTGCCCTGGAATGATCCCAGTCAGCTATGAAGACAAACTAAGTGGCAGGAAGAAGTGAAGCTCCCGAATGTTTGGAACCTTTTTTAAAAAAATGGGTTATTCCCGCTTTGGAAAACGGTTTTGGTAACTCAGGTCCCAAATAATCCCTTCTGCCCGTGTGATGTGTGTGGTAGAGTCACTCTCTGGAGTTATTGCGACAATTGAGGGGTTCTTTTTGTTGCAAATAATTTAAATAGCCCTTAATCTCCCTGCTTATCTGGATCTTTGACAGCTCTGAAAATTGATTTGCTTTTCTCTTGGAGCGTTAAGTTGATAATGAAGATTTATCCATCAGCAGGATGCTAAAAATAGCATTCTTTTCCAGAGATTATTCAGAATATGTGTATTTACACAAGAGATTAAGAAGTCTGCGGTGTAAATATAGCAGGGGAGGATGTGATTTGTTGGGGGCTTTTTTTTTTTCTTTTGGCTTGTTTTTTGGGAGGGGAATAAAAGCGTGATTAAAAATAAAACTTGACTCATTTTTTTTTTAAAAGCAGAAAAGGTACAAGATAAAAAAATAACTTCCAGTGCCAAAAGACACGTCAGAGTCCCTTAAGGCAATAACTTTGTTCATAGTACAGGTAAGAAAAATTCTTCTCTCTAGAAACTTCCAGGGGGCAACTTGGAGACTAATCCTGATTTAGATGACCAGGAGAATGAAAAATGCTTTATTTTACCTTCAGCTGGACATTTCAGACTGAGAAAAACATCAGGACTAAAGTCTTAAGGTATAATTTTTGCCCCCTTTTTTTTTTTCTCTTGTGAGAACAGGAGAAAAATACTTAATATATATATTTTTGTCTTTTTTTTTCCCCTCTTGTGAAAACAGGAGGAAAATCAGCCCAGGTGAAAAATGACATTCATGGAGTTCAACCTCCTGTTGCTGACTAAATTCCAGTAGTTGGATCTTTTCTGGAGGGGGTGTTGTGTGTTCTCCTTTTTTCCTTTGGATGGAGAACTTCGAGGGGGAAAAGAAATCAGTGGTTTTTTGTGAATATCTTCAGGAAAAAAAGAAAAAAGACCTTTTTTTCCCCCCTACATCTTTCTTTAGGAGACACGTGTGGTTTTGTGGGGTTTGGTTGCTTGGAACTTTTTTTTTTTAATGGTGTTTTTTTCTGTGTTTTAAATCTGCTTTTCTATTAAGTGCAGACTGTCCCGTTTTGTCTCTTCTTTCTTGGAAAAACTGT